TCCAGGATAAAAACGTTCACAGTCACGTTGCTGCTGAGCGGAGGAACACCAGAGTCTGTGGCCTGAACTTTAAACTGAAACGTTTTTAACTCCTCAAAGTTAAATACTTGCAGGCTGATTATATCTCCCATCTCTGAGTTGATGTTTACAACAGAATTCATTGGAATACTTTTTGAAATGCCATCTATTAAAGAATATGTAACTTTAGCATTTTCTTCTACATCAGGGTCAACTGCAGTTATAGTTAAGATGGTAGCTCCCACTGCACTATTCTCTTTCACATATGCATTAATCACAGGCTCTGAGAAGAGAGGTGCGTTGTCATTGACATCAGAAATGTGAATAGGAATGACACTACTGCTGGAGAGAGGTGGAGTCCCTTCATCAGTGGCTATGACAGTGACATTATACTGAGCTACACTCTCTCTGTCTAGAGCTCCATCAACTGTTAATGAATAATAATTTTTGTAGTTTAGCTTTAGTTTAAAAGGCACCAACCCAAGAATATTAGCAGCTGTGAGACCATTTTTACCTCCGTCTTTGTCAGTCACAGTCACCAAAGCAACCACTGTGCCTATCTCAGCTTCCTCTTTAACTGGGCTCATAAGAGATGTGATAATGATTTCAGGTGTGTTGTCATTAACGTCAGTCACTTCAACTAACACTTTACCATGAACGCTTCGAGAGGGCGTACCTTTATCTCTAGCCTGTACACGAATATCATATGCTGTATGCTCTTCATAATCTACTTTCCCGGTCACGGTTATTTCGCCTGTGTCTGGATTTATGGAGAAAACAGCTTCAGGATTGAACTGTCCTCTCTCAATAAATGAATAGATAATCTCACCATTTATTCCTTCGTCTAAATCTGTGGCACTTACTGTCAGTATAAACGTCTGAAACGGGGCGTTTTCAATGACCTGGGCCTTATAGAGAGATTGACTAAATACCGGAGCATTATCGTTTATATCCATAACATAAACCACTATTTTTAATGTCCCAGATCGGGCAGGTTTTCCTCCATCCACAGCAATTAAAGTCAGGTGAATAACTGACTGTTTCTCCCTATCTAAAGATTTCTGTAGCACTAACTCCGCAGACTCACTGTGCTGTCCACCGCTCTGTACGTCTAGTGAGAAATACTCATTCGGACTCAGCTTGTAGCTTTTTACCGAATTACTCCCCCTGTCTGCGTCGTTCGCCACTGGAAGTAGATACCTCTCTCCAGTAAATGAGGATTCAGAAATATTGAAAGTCTTCTCCTTTTCACGGAAAGATGGTGCATTGTCGTTTATATCAATAATCTGGATCTCTATGCGATGCAGATGCGTCGGGTGGCTCAGAATGGCTTCGATATTCAGGGAACATTTTGCCGTATTTGGACACAGCTCTTCACGATCAATCCTATCGCAAACGAACAAAGCACCGGTTTTTAAATCCACGTCAAAATATGTCTTAGAATTCCCAGCGACAATGCGTAAGTCCCGTTTTCCCAGTTCCGGGACATTAATCTGTAATTCCTTAGCGAGATTTCCCACCACCGTCCCTTTGTCAACCTCCTCGGAAACGGAGAAGGAAAGCTGCGCTGTCGACCCGTCACACAAACAAAGCAGAGCTATTATTTGTATCCCAACCGTCACCGTTAGTCCTCCACGTCCCATCGCTGACACAGAACGAAAGAAATAGTCATTTTCGAACATGTCCACAGTTTAGGTGCTCGACAGGCGAAGCCGTCTCTGCCTTGTGACCATTTGTGTATTTTCTAACAAAGCAGAGGCGGACCACTGACGGTGCGCACGCAAAGGCGGAGTCAGGGAGGAGTTGGAGCCACATGGTTATATATGGTCTCCGAGCGACACCAACTGTTATGTTTGTGCCTATGAAAATGGCATGTACATTTTAATAATATCCTGTCTTCTGTAGAAATTGAGGGAATACAAAATATTTTAAAATGTATATAAATCCACGTGTACAAAACTACTGCTTAAATAATCATTTACTTTTAATATTATCAGGGAGAAACATATGAAAGATGAGTAACATAGTCTGTTATTAAAGTTTAAATTACAAAGAAGCGAGGCAGACTTTGTTCATGCACGCTAAAATAACTTCTAGATTTCAGCACCTTGGAGAGCGTCATAGCTGTCACTATAGGGAAACTCACTCGACCAACGACTTCTGCTTCAAATGCCAGTACACAGCAGCCATACTGAATAATATCCCACATCATCTCTTCACCATTCACTCTCATACAAGTGATTTACTTTCATGGGGAGAAATCTGTAACCAAATTCATTATTTACATTTGCAGCCCCCCAAACACCACTTTGTGTTAAGTTGCTTTCACACACACACATGAACAATATCACGAAAAATCAGCAAATTATGTAAATGTCCCAGATCTGACCCCATAGTGAGTCTGTCAAAGGAGCTCTGACAGGCGCCCGTGATATCAGTACCACTGGCAGCGCTGATGCCCAAAGCAGACATCGAAGGACAGAAAAGAAGCAACAGAAACAAATACCACAACCAAGCGGAGCCAATAATGTTGAAACAAATGTTGTAGTTTGTCATATCGCTGGAAACCGCACATCTTAGCATACTTATTAGGCTTTGTTTTAAGTGTAACTTAAGCAAATGTAACTTTTATTGGAAAACTCAACTCACCTTTTCTTTGTTTGGTAAAGTCTGAGTCCTGTTATAAGTATCTCCTCCGTTAATACTGATCAGTTCCGCATCTACAGGCGGAAACGGTCCGGGGAAAACCACTACGTCACTCTTGAGCGTGTCTGAGCTGAAGCAGACGTCATACTGCTGAGTAGCTTTAGAGTAAGACCAGCTCCCGTC